CACCTGCCTGTTTACATTCTCCATCCCCAGAATCCAAGGGCCCAAGCATATCTTCCAGGTGCAGCAGCACTTTACCTGCACTTACCACAATCTAGTCTACTGCATTCACTGTTCATAATCTGGTCTCCTCTACATTGGGAAACAAAGTGTAGACTGCGTGACCACTTCACAGAACATCTACTTTCTGCCCACAAAAAAGACCGAGCTTCCAGTTGCCTGCCGTTTTTACACACCACCCTGTTCCCTGGCCAACATCTGTCTCAGGCTTGCTGCAATGTTCCAGCGAAGCTCAGCACAAGTTGGAAGAATGACACATTTTCTGCTTGGGGACCCTGCAACCCTCAGGACTCAATATTGAGTTCAATAATTTTAGGGCCTGAACTCTCCCATTCCTAGCTCCCTGCCCCACATTGGTTTGTTTCTTGGGCAGAACGGTGGCTCAGTGGTTATCACTGCTGCCTCACAGCGCGAGGGACCCGGGTTCAATTCCACCCTTGGGCGACTGTCTGTGTGGAGTTTGCGTGTTCTTCCTGTGTCGGCATGGGCTCCTTCGGGTGCTCCAGTTTCCATCCACAGTCCAAAGATGTGCAGGTTAGGTGGATTGGCCATGCTAAATTGCCCATAGTGTTCCAGGGGTGTGTAAATTAGGTAGATTAGACATGGGAAATGCAAGGTTACAGGGAAAAGGTAGTGGGATGGGGATTGGTCTTGGTGGGATGTTCTTCAGAGGAGTGGTGTGGACTTGTTGAGCTGAATGGCCTGTTTCCACACTACAGGGATTCCATGATTCACACACCAGGCCTTGTTGTCACATTGTCTGCTATTACACACTACCTGTTGTTAGACACTAACAGTCTCCATTAACAGCTATTCACCCTCCTAGCCAGATTGTTATCAACTCCTTTGTCTGTCCAACTGTTCTTCACTTTGGGCTCTATCCCCATCTATCACTTACTGCTTATACCTCCCTAGTCCTATCTTTTGCATATAAGCCAACATTTTCCTAGCTATTGTCAGTTCTGAGGAAGGGTCACCGGATCCGAAACATTAACTGATTTTTTTTCTTCGCAGATGCTGAACTTTTCCAGCAACTTCTGTTTTTGGTCCTGAGGGAAAAGCATACTTGACCTCATCCTGAGCAATCTGCTAGCTGCAGATGCATCTGTCCATGACAGTGTTGGTAAAAGTGATCATGCACAGTCCATGGAGACAATATTTCACTTCACATTGAGAATACCCTTAATTGTGTTGTGCGGCACTATCACCGTGCTAAATGGGACTGACTTTGAACAGATCTCGCAACTCAAGCCTTGGCATCTATGAGGCGCTGTGGACCATCAGCTGAGCAAGATCATATTCCAACATTATGCAGCTTTATGGCCCAGCATATTCTACACTCAACCATTACCATCAACACTGGTCAATGGAGAGTGCAGGGGGGGCATGCCAGGAGCAGCACCAGGCATACCCAAAAATGAGATGTCAACCCTGTGAAGCTGCAAAACAGGAATATTGGTGTGCAAAACAGCATAAGCAGAAAACGATTGACAGAGCTAAATGATCCCACAATCAACAGGTCAAAGCCCTTTAGTTTCAGTTGTGAATGGAAGAGGACAATTAAACAACTCAGTGGAGGAGGATGTTCCACAAATATCCCCTCCCCATCCTCAATGATGGGAAAGCCCAGCACATCAGTGCAAAAAACAAGGCTGAAACATTTGCAGCAATCTTCAACCAGAAGTGCCAAGTGGATGATCCATCTTGGTCTCCATTAGAGGTCCCTAGCATCACAGATGCTAGACTTCAGCCACTTTAATTCATTCCACATGATTTCAAGAAATGGTTGGAGGTGCTGTAAAGGCTATAGGATCTGAAGACATTCCAGCAATAAGACTGAAGACTTGTGCTCCAGAACTTGCCACTCCCCTAGCCAAGCTGTTCCAGTACAGTTAGCACAGTGGCATCTACCCAGGGTGGCATGGTGGCTCAATGGTTAGTACTGCTGACTCACAGCGCCAGGGACCTCAGGTGACTGTCTGTGTGGAGTTTGCACATTCTCCCCAGGTCTGCGTGGGTTTCCTCCGGGTGCTCTGGTTTCCTCCCACAGTCCAAAGATGTGGAGGGTAGGTGGATTGGCCATGCTAAATTGCCAATAGTGTTCAGGGATATTTAGGTTAGGTGGGTCAGACATGGGGAAATGCAGGGGTAGGAGGTTGGGTGGGATGCTCTTTGGATGGGGGCTGTGGACTAGTTGGGCCAAATGGCCTGTTCCCGCACTGTAGGGATTCTGTGAATCTGTGATATACCTGATGATGTGGAAAATTTCTCAGGGATGTGTCCTGCACAAAATGATGGACAAATCCAACCTGGCCAATTACCACCCCATCAGTCTACTCATGATGATTAGTAAAACAGTGGAAGGTGTCATCAACAGCGTTATCAAGCAGCACCTGCTCAGCAATAACCTACTCAGTGATGCCCATTTTGGGTTATGTCAGGGCCACTCAGCCCTTAACCTCATTACAGCCTTGGTTCCAACGTAGACAAAGGAGCTGAATTCCAGAGATGAAGTGAAAGTGACAGCCCTTGATAACAAGGCTGCATTTTACCAAGTTTGGCATCAAGGAGCCATTAGAACTGGAATCAATGGGTATCAGGGGGTACACTCTCTGCTGGTTGGAGTCTTACCTGGAACATAAAGATGGTTATGGTGGCTGGAGGTCTGTCATCTCAGCTCCAGGACATCTCTGCAGGAGTTCCTCAGGATAGTGACTAGATCATTAGACCCAACCATCTTCAGCTGCTTCACCACTAACCTTCCCTCCATCATAAGGTCAGAAATGGTGTTGTTTGTCAGCAATTGCACAATGTTCAGCACTATTTGCAACTCCTCATACTGAAGCAGTCCATGTCAAAGTGCAGCAATCCCTGAATAATATCCAGATTTGGGCTGACAAGTAGCAAGTAAAACTTGCACCAATGCTGATCCATTTCCAACCAGAGGGAAACTAACCGTTGTCCCTTGATATTCAGTGGTGTTACCATCACCTAATCCCCCACTATCAACATCATGAGGGTTGCCATTGACCAGAAATGGAACTGGACTCACCATATAAATACTGCAACTACAACAACAGGTCAGAGGCAAGGGATCCTACAGCGAGTAACTCACTCCCTGACTCCTCAAAGCTTCTGCACCATCTACAAGGCACAAGTTAGGTGTATGATGGAGTATTCTTCACTTGCCTGGATGGGTGCAGCTCCAGCAACATTTAAGAAGCTTGTCACCATCCAGGACAAAGCAGCCCACTTTATTGGCACCATATCCACAAACATCCACTCCCTCCACTTCGACACTCAGATACATCAGTGGGTACTATCTACAAGATGCACTTCAGAAGTTCAGTAAGGTTCGTTAGACATGATCTTCCAAACCCATGACCATTCCCATTTAGAAGGGCAAGGGCAACAGATACATTGTATAATAACTCACTGGGAAAGTGCACTAGAAATCAGCTCCTGGTAATCTCAGAAATACCATTCTCTGGTGTTCACAAAAATTTAAAATGTTATAAAGTATCCAATCTTCCCCAATTGATTTGATGTTCAAATCCAAGTTGATAGAAAGCATGAATGATGTTTCTGTTACTTTTTATCATAAGTAATTAGGCTCTAACTACAGGAAAACAGATATAAACTGTTAGCATACAAGACTGCATCTAAAACTCTACTCTCCTTATGAATTCCCCCTTACATACACAGACAGATAATGGAGACAGGGAATCAGGCTTTTGGGTAGGGGAAAACTGGAAAGACAGTTTAGTCTTTTTTCAAGCTACAATTGAGGTGATCTTTATAACTGTTCTGCTGTCCAGGATGTTGTTTCAGTCATCTTTTTCCAGATGCTTCCACTGGTTGGAGAGACACTCAAGATGGCTGATAACTGATAAGTCAGAAGCTTTTTACAAGGTAAAAAGCCACAGCTTACAACAAATAGTCCAGGCAAGATAAACTGTTTTCTTCTGATTTAAAGTTAGTTTTGACTGCGCAGAGCAGGGAAACCAAACTTGAACTGGGGAAAAATTGAACACTTTTCTTTCTTTTTGACTTGTTCCCAGCTCCAAGCTGTTCAGTTATCTGCAAACCAATCACATGGTTGTTAGCAGGTAACAGATCAATGTCATCAATAACTGGTCAATAGTCATAAAACTTTTAATAATTTTTTTTTGTTGCCAATCTGACCTGCATCACCTACCCACCAAAACCTTGGGCTCAAATCATCCGCAACTCAAACCTCAGTTATTACTTACTCAAACAGCTGATTATGATGCCTGGCCTGCGTACCAGGCTACCTGTCTACAAAACATACAGCCACTGTTTCAAACACTGGTTTTAAAACAGATCTTTTTCATTTCAGACTGCAGTTATTTTAAAAATCACAAAATAAAAAACTACGGTCCTTACAGTGGGAACACCTGCAAGTCCCCCTCCAAGTCACTCACTATCATGATTTGGAAATATATCACCATTCCTTCAGTGTCTTTGGGTCAAAATCCCAGAACTCCCTCCCTAGTTGATTACCTGCACTAAAAGGACATCAGCAGTTCAAAGCAGCAACTCACCACCATCTTCTCAAGGACAACTAGGGACAGGCAATAAATATTGGCATATCCAGCGATGCCAAGATCCATGATTTAATTTTTAAAAAACTTTTCAATGAACCGTATTAGATCTTGCAACAAATCTGCACTTACCCCCAAGCCATTAGAATCAATCAGTATTTTTAAAAGGTTTATTAAAGCCATGGAACAGCCTACACCGATTTGCTTATCAGGATTACCTACAGCTTCTCAAAGGCTGTTTGACATTCTGCTGACCATACCACTTTTGTCTGTTTATGTAACAAATCAGTTAAAGATTCAGGTATTGTGTTGAAGTTTCAACAAAAATTTCTTGTAAAAACCCTCACTTTCCTAAAAATCTCATGATTTCCCGTTTAGTTTTAGGAATGGGGAATTCGTTCAGAGCCTTCCATTTTGCCGTTCTTGGCAATACTTGCTCGTGTCCTACGATATGTGCTAGGTAAGTTACCCTTGCTTTTGCAAATTCACATTTGGCCAAATTTATTACTAAGCTAGCTAACTGCAATTGCTTAAACAGGTCTTCTAGTTACCTTACATGCTTTTCCAAGTGTTACTGTATATTATGACATCATCTAAATAAACTACAGTTTTATACTTCAGTTTCAACATGACTCATAAGTTTTTGGAATGTGGGTGGGGCATTTTTAAACCAAATAGCATCTCAACATTGATATAATCTATTTGGTGTATTGAAGGCTGATATTTCTTTAGCTTATGGTATTAGTAGAACTTGCTAACCTTCAACAAATCAATCTCAGAAATAAATTAGGCACAGACAAGATTGTGGAGACAATCTTCTAACTGAGGAATTGAATAGGAATCTGTTTTTCTTGTTGCACTAACTTTTCTGTAGTCTATACAGAATCTAGTTGATCTTTCCAACTTACAACCAACAGCAGCTGCTTTGGGTAGGTTTAATCAAACAATTTTCCAACATGTATTGAATCTCTGTTTCCACCTGAGCTTATTTTCCTAGGTCCAACCAATAAGGATGTTATTTTGTTAGCACTCAGTCTCTTATGTACACATCATGTTGAATTAACATAGTACATCCATCTGTGTTGCTGTAGATTGTACTCCTGACTAATCTTATGAGATCTTCCCATGTCTCTTCCTCTAAATATGAGAACAGTGTCTAACTTTCCCTGTATTTCTATACAATATGAATCAATTTGTAAGAGGTTCACTTGAGAAGTGTCTCTTCTCCTTCTACCTCACTCTCATTATCTCCATTACTTTCCACTACCGTTACCACCTGACACATTTGCTCCTATCGACTTCCCTATGATGATACCTTTTAAACACGTAGCCAATTCTTCTTCCTATGATTAGGAATATTTATCAAATAAATCACTTTACTAACCTTTCTAACTGCCTTGCATGGACCACTGAATTTTCCTTTCAGAGGAACGCTACGAACAATTTTTCTCCTGCTGAAATGTTCTACTTGTAGCATGTTTGTTTTCCCATTCTTCTATACTTACTTGTGAAGTTTTTAAGTGCTCATGCACCAATTCCCATCCTCACAAGGACTCGAAACTGGTAAACAGGGGAGACGCCTTGCGAAAGCCAATACAGTTTCAAAACATGTAGTGGTAGTCAGGGGCACAGACAGGCATTTTTGTGGCCGCAATCGAGTCTCTAGGATGGTGTGTTATCTCCCTGGTGCCAGGGTCAAGGATGTCTGCGTGGTTGCATGAAATTCTTAAGTGGGAGGATGAGGAGCCAGAGGTTGTTGTACACATTGAGACCAACGACATAGGTAGGAAAAGGGATGAGGTCCTGAAGAGTGATTATAGGGAGTTAGGGAGAAGGTTAAAATGCAGGACTGAAGGGTAGTAATTTCTGGACTACTTCCGGTCTCACTTGTTCGCAAGAGTAGGAATAGGAGGATTTGGCAAATGAATGCATGGCTTGAGAACTGCTTCAGGGAGCAGGGATTCAGATTCTTGTATCATTGGGATCTCTTCTGGAGTAGAAGTGATCTGTACTAGAGGGTCTGGTTGCACCTGAACTGGAGGGGGACCAACATCCATGCGGGGAGATTTTCTAGAGCCACTCAGGAGGGTTTAAACTAGTCTGGCAGGGGACTGGTATCCAAAGCAGTAGGGAAATGAAAGAGAAGATCAAGGCCAGTACAGAGGTTAATGAGAGCAAATTAAATAGTAACGGCAATATTGGTAATCCTATAGTAAACCTGACAGGCAAGAGCATGGCAGGAAGCAAAGGAAATCTGGGTTAAACTGCATTTATTTCAATGCAAGAGGCCTGAAAGATAAGGCAAATGAACTTGAGGCATGAATGGCTAAATGGAACTGGGATATTATAGTTATTACAGAAACATGGCTGAGGGAGGGACAGGACTGGCAGCTCAATGTTCCAGGGTACAGATACTATGGGAAGGTTAGAAGGGGAGGCAAGAGAGAAGGGGAGTTGTGATTTTGGTTAGGGAGAACATCATGGCAGTACTGAGAGAGGACATTTTTGAGGGTTTGTCCGCTGAGTCTATATGGGTAAAAGTGGGAGATCAATTTCATAGCATTGTACTATAGGTCCCATAATAGTCAGCAGGAGATTGAGGAGCAAGTACGTAAGGAGATTGCAGATAGCTGCAAGAATAATAGGATTGTAATAGTGGGGAACTGCCATAGAGTTAAGGGCTTGCATAGAGAGAGAAAGTGTGTTCAGGAAAAATTTCTCATGCAGTATGTAGATGGCCCTACTAGAGAAGAAGTAAAACTTGACCTCCTCTTGGGAAATAAGGCAGGGCAAGTGATGGAACTGTTACTGGGGATACACTTAGGGACCAGTGACCATAATTCCATTAGTTTTAAATAGCTATGGAAAAGGATAGGTCTGGTCCACAAAATAAAGTACTAAATTGGGGCAAGGCCAATTTTGATGGTCTTAGGCAAACTTTCAAAAGTTGATTGAGGGAGGCTGTTTGCAGGCAAAGGGTTGTTTGTTAAGCAGGAGGCTTTCAAAAGTGAGTTAATGCAGGCTCAGGGCCAGCATGTTTCTGTTAGAATGAAGGGTAAGGCTGGGAGGAGTAGGGAACCCTGGATGACTACAGTTATTGAGGCTCTGGTCAAGAAAAATGAGGCATATGACATGTATAGGCAGCTGGGATCAAGTGAATTCCTTGAGGAGTATAGAGGGTGTCGGAGGATACAGAGAGAAATCAGGAGGGCTGAATGGGACACAAGATTGCTTTGGGAGATAGAGTAAAGGAGAATCCAAAGAAGATTTAAAGGCAAAAGAGTAACTAGGGAGAGAATAGGGTCTCTTAAAAGTCAACAAGATCTTCTATGTGCGGAGCCACAAGAGATGGACAAGATCCTAAATGAATATTTCTCATCACTATTTACCATTGAGAAAAGCATTAATGCTAATGTACTTGGGAAATAAATATTGAGAGTCCACACTACAGAAGGGGAGGTGCTGGAAGTCTTAAAATGCATTAAAGTTGATAAATCCTCAGGACCTGAAGAAGTGTATCCCAGGACTTGAGAGGCATGGGAGGCTGGGGAGGAAATTATGGGGCCCCTAGTGGAGATATCTATATCATTGACAGCCACAGGTAAAGTGCCCGAAAATTAGTTGGCAGCTAATGTTGTGCCATTATTGAAGAAACGCTGCAGAAAAATGCCTGTGAACCACAGACCAGTCAGTGAGCCTAACATCTGTGATGAGTAAGTTGTTAAAGGGGATTCTGAGAGACAGTATCTACAGGAATTTGGAGAGGCAAGGACTCATTTGGGATAGTCAGCATGGCTTTGTGCATGAGAAATCATGTCTGATGAATTCGATTGAGATCTTTTGAAGGGATAACCAAGAAAGCAGATCTGTGTTGCCTACATAAGGGTAGGTGATGGCCTAGTTGTATTATCGCTAGACTATTAATCCAGAAACCCAGTTGATATTCTGGGGACCTGGGTTCAAATCCCACCATGGTAGATGGTGGAATTGGAATTCAAAAAAAAAGTCTGGAATTAAGAATCTACTGATCACCATTAATTCATTGCCGATTGTTGGAAAAACCCATCTGGTTCGCTAATGTCCTTCAGGGGAGGAAATCTGCCACCCTCACCTGGTCTAGCTGACATGTGACTCCAGACCCACAGCAATGTGGTTGACTCTCAACTGCCATCTGAAATGACCTAGCAAGCCACTCAGATATACCAATCACTGCATGGACTTTAGCAAGGCCTTTGACATCAAAGGTTGTTGAATAAGGTTAAATCTCATGGGATTCAGGGACAGCTGGCCAATTTGATACAAAATTAGCTTGAAGGTAGACGATAGAGGGTGATGGCAGTGGCATATTTTTCAAACTGGAGGCCTGTAACCAACAGTGTGCCACAGGGCTTGGTACTGGGTCTACTGTTATTCATCATTTATATAAATGATTTGGATGAGAATTTAGAAGATTGTTAGTAAGTTTGTGGATGATACCAAGATTGGTGGTATAGTGGACAGTGAAGAAGGTTGTCTAGGAATACAGCGAGATCATAATCAACTGGGCCAATGGGCTGAGGAATGGCAGATGGAGTTTAATTTAGATAAATGCAAGCTGTTGCATTTTCATAGGCCAGAACAGGGCTGGAGCTACACAGTCAAAGGTAGGACCCTTGGGAGTGCTATAGAACAAAGAAATCCAGGGGTACAGATTAATATCTCCTTGAAAGTGGAATCACAGATAGACAGGGTGGTGAAGAAGGCATTCAGCATGCTTGATTTCATCGTTCAGAGCACTGAGTATAGGAGTTGGAGATGTACAAGACATTGGTGAGGCCACAGTTAGAGTAATTCATGCTGTTCATTTCACCCTGCTATAGAAAGGACATTAATAAACTAGAAAGAGTGCAGAAAATATTTGCTAGGATGCTACCTGGACTGGAAGGTTTGAGTTACAAGGAGAGGCTGAACTTTTTTCCCTGGAGCACAGGAGACTGAGGGTGACCTTATAGAGATCTATAGAATCTTGAGAGGCATAGATAAGGTAGGTAGCGAACAGCATTTCGCCTGGTAGAGGAGTCTAAAACTAGAGGGCAAAGGTCTAAGGTGATGGTGGAAGAGATACGAAAGGGTCCCGGGGGCAGTTTTTTTTCAGAGGATGGTGAGTGTCTGGAATGGGTTGCCAGAGGTAGTGGTGGAGTCAAGTACAATTTTGTCATTTAAGAAACATTTGGACAGGTACATGGATGGGATAGGTATGGAGGGATATGGACCAAATGCTGGCAAATGGGACTAAATTAATTGTGAAAACTTAGCAGTACGGACTTTGGGCTAAAGGGCCTGTTTCTATGCTGTAAACCTCTATGTCTATGACTCTGTGACTGGCAGGACGAAGAGGAAAGAAACAGTCAGGAATCCTGCTTCAGGTATGGCAGACAATGGCAAAACTATAAGTGTATTGATTAAACCATTAGAGAGAAA